TTTTTTCATTTTGAAAGAGCTTGATTGGGCGATCTTGGTTGTATCTGCTGCAACATTTCTTTTCAGCATTTAAGATAGTGGATTGCGATTCCATAATTTTGAAGTAAAATATTATATTAGAAGTCTTAATGGTAACAAATTTTAGAGTTGTTTAGTATTAAAAGTAAGAAAACTATTTAATTGGTACAAAATATACTTTGCATTTCAGACAGATCAAAGTTATCACTTATATATATTTCGTTCATTATATAAATAATTCATTTAAAGCAATTAACTTAACTATTTGGCTAAATTGATAATTTTTTTCTTTTTACCCAATGTATGTAACATATCAGTTCAGCTGAGTGATCTTTTTGAATATTCGAAACTAGCTATAAATGGTAAACACGCATCTTATAAATAAAAGTATTTGCTATTTCATATACATGCATTATAATCATGCAATTATATAATATCATATATCGAAGATTACTAGCACAAAGCTTTTATTTGATGGCTGAAGTTAAAATAAGAATTAGTATTTTTCAATATGTAGCTAATTGAAGTATTAAAATGTAAATTGTCAATAAATTTGATTTGAATACTGTTATAGATTCTTTCTAATTATACCACAATGATTAATTAGTATATGAATGTACAGTTTAACTCTGATAGTTAATGTAAAATGAATCAATGATAAAAAGTTGGATATTATAATTATAAAATAATTCAAGTACAATCTGTATTAAAATACATTTTTTCTTTTATTAAAGTTTCTGTTAAAATATTTTATACTTTAATTCTCTATTGGTGCATTTTTTTGAATTGATGTAAAATCTTTTGATTCAAAAATCTTTTCTGGGTACTTTACAATAATATTATTTATTATTTTAAGTTTTTAGAAAAGTGTAATCGAAACTATAAGCATTTGTTTCAATCAAATAAGCTTCAAAACACTTTGCTAGTTCAAATTTTTGCAGGATACATTACACAAATCAGATGATTATCATGTGAGAGAAAATCTCCTTTGAACTTAAAATAAAGATTTCTCAACAAACAGCAATTCAATTTTGGTAAAAAATTTTTCATTTTGATTCTATGAATTCTCACAATCAAAAAAAAAAATTTAATCAAACTTGAATAGCAAGTTTTCAGAAAATATTCATTAAAAGTAAAAAAAAAAAAATCTAATCACAGCTTCTATCAAAAATTTGAATGAAGATTACTTGGCATTTACCCAGTCAAATTCAATCAAACCTTCTTTATTTTTCTGTATTTGTATTCTCAAAGAATTAAAAAAAAAAATAAATTGAACTTAAATTGCAAGTTTTCAAGAAATATTCATTAAAAGTAAAAAAAAATCTGACTGCAGCTTCCATCAAAAATTTGAATGAAGATTGCTTAGCATTTACCTGGTCAAATTCGATCAAGTCTTCATTATTTTTCTGTATTTGTATCCTCAAAGAATTAAAAAAAAAAATCAATTGAACTTGAATAGCAAGTTTTCAAGAAATATTCATTAAAAGTAAAAAAAAATCTGACTGCAGCTTCTATCAAAAATTTAAATGAAGATTACTTGGCATTTACCTGGTCAAATTTGTTCAAACCTTCTTTATTTTTCTGTATTTGTATTCTCAAAAAATTAAAAAAAAAATAAATTAAACTTGAATTGCAAGTTTTCAAGAAATATTTATTAAAAATCTGACTGCAGCTTCTATCAAAAATTTGAACGAAAATTGCTTGGCATTTACCTAATCAAATTCGATCAAGCCTTCTTTATTTTTCTGTATTTGTATTCTCAAAGAATTAAAAAAAAAAAATCAATCAAACTTGAATAGCAAGTTTTTAAGAAATATTCATTAAAAGTAAAAAAAAATCTGATCACAGCTTCTATCAAAAATTTGAATGAAGATTACTTGGCATTTACCTGGTCAAATTTGATCAAACCTTCTTTATTTGTCTATATTTGTATTCTCAAAGAATTAAAAAAAAAATAAATCAAACTTGAATTGCAAGTTTTCAAGAAATATTCATTAAAAGTAAAAAAAAATCTAATTGCAGCTTCCATCAAAAATTTAAACAAAGATTGCTTGGCATTTACCCAGTTAAATTCGATCAAGCCTTCTTTATTTTTCTGTATTTGTATTCTTAAAGAATTAAAAAAAAAAAAATCAATCGAACTTGAATAGCAAGTTTTCAAGAAATATTCATTAAAAGTAAAAAAAAATCTGACTGCAGCTTCCATCAAAAATTTGAACAAAGATTGCTTGGCATTTACCCAATCAAATTCGATCAAGTTTTTTTTTATTTTTTTGTATTTGTATTCTCAAAGAATTAAAAAAAAAAAATTAATCAAACTTGAATAGCAAGTTTTTAAGAAATATTCATTAAAAGTAAAAAAAATCTGATCATAGCTAGAGTTAATACCTCTATCCGGATTTATATATCTGGATATATACTATATCATGTGATATAATGTAACATAATGTTTTTAAATCTGGATATAAATGCATCCAGATTTGAGTTTAAATCCAGATTTATACTATGATAAACCTGGATTAATCTGGATATAAAAAATATATCCAGATTGAGGTATTAACTCTAATCACAGCTTCTATCAAAAATTTGAATGAAGATTGCTTAGCATTTACCTAGTCAAATTCGATCAAACCTTCTTTATTTTTCTGTATTTGTATTCTCAAAGAATTAAAAAAAAAAATTAATCGAACTTGAATAGCAAGTTTTCAAGAAATATTTATTAAAAGTAAAAAAAAATTTGACCACAGCTTTCATCAAAAATTTGAACGAAGATTGCTTGGCATTTACTTGGTCAAATTTGATCAAGCCTTCTTTATTTTTCTGTATTTATATTCTCAAAGAATTAAAAAAAAAAAATCAATCAAACTTGAATAGCAAGTTTTCAAGAAATATTCATTAAAAGTAAAAAAAAATCTGACTGCAGCTTCTATCAAAAATTTGAATAAAGATTACTTGGCATTTACCTGGTCAAATTCAATCAAACCTTCTTTATTTGCCTGTATTTGTATTCTTAAAGAATTAAAAAAAAATAAATTGAACTTGAATTGCAAGTTTTCAAGAAATATTTATTAAAAGCAAAAAAAAATCTAACTGTAGCTTCCATTAAAAATTTGAATGAAGATTGCTTAGCATTTACCCGGTTAAATTTGATCAAGTCTTCTTTATTTTTCTGTATTTGTATTCTCAAAGAATTAAAAAAAAAAAAATTAATTGAACTTGAATAGCAAGTTTTCAAGAAATATTCATTAAAAGTAAAAAAAAATTTAACTGTAGCTTTTATCAAAAATTTGAACAAAGATTGCTTGGCATTTACCTGGTTAAATTTGATCAAACCTTCTTTATTTTTCTGTATTTGAATTCTCAAAGAATTAAAAAAAAAAAAATCAATTGAACTTGAATAGCAAGTTTTCAAGAAATATTCATTAAAAATAAAAAAAATTTGACTGCAGTTTCTATCAAAAATTTGAACGAAGATTGCTTGGCATTTACCTGGTCAAATTCGATCAAGCCTTCTTTATTTTTCTGTATTTGTATTCTCAAAGAATTAAAAAAAAAAAATCAATCGAACTTGAATTGCAAGTTTTAAAAAAATATTCATTAAAAGTAAAAAAAAAAAAAAAAACTGACCACAGCTTCTTTTTTTTGATATAAAAAATTTAAACGAAGAAAACTTGGCATTTACCTGGTCAAATTTGATCAAAAAATTTTTTTTTAATTTTCTGAGAATACAGAATTAAATAAAGAAGTTTTGGTCGAGTTTGACCAGGTAAGTGCCAAGTAATCTTCATTCAAAGTTCAAAGAAGAAAAATTTAACCCGATTTTTCTGATTTAAAGCTTTTTTTTTAATTTTAGCGATGATTTTTCGATTACCATTGAACAAAATTCAATGAACTTTTTTTTATTTTGATTCTACAAATCTCTAGGATTAAAATAAAAAAATTTTTTGCTGAATTTTATCAAGTAGTTATTGAGGAACCATCGCTAGAAGAAAAAAAAAACTTTCGAATTTTCTTATTTGATTCGCCATTAGAACGTTACACAAATCGGATGATCATCACGTGCGGGAAAATTTCTTGGGGGTGTGTATAATTTCAAAATAACACACAGGCGAAAAAATGGTATAGTTAAAACTTTAGAAATATAAAATTAATTTGTATACTAAACACAACCTATTCTCTCCTTAAATAATAATATAAAACTCAAATCGGATTATTCGATTTCATGATTTTTCATTTAAATCAAATTGAGGTTTAACCTAATTCAAATTACCCAAGGGAGATCCTAATATTACGTCAATTGATGTGTTGCCTAAATTGAAATGCAACTGTAAATAATCATCATAATATATACACTACGACATACGTAAGTACGCATGAAAAATAATCGTGGCACCAACCAAAAATTCCCATAAGTCTGTAATTTTGTGCAAAGGACGGATTTGGGAATAATAATAGTAGCAAAATTTGAATGATCATTGGTTCGGCAAGTTCGGTCCGTTTACCTAATTACACGAATAAAATATATACAATCTTTGATCCCAATTTAATCGGCATAGAATGGTTAGACTAGATCATAGGGAACTAGTCGTCTTATTAGGTTATCAACCAGTTAAAGCCATCATCAGACATAATTAATTATAGGAAGGATATCCAAATCTCACCTCTTAGATGAATGAAATTTGGCTAATTGTAAGCACATACGTACGTACGTACGTAGCTCTTTCTAGGATGTATTGAATGCTAGCCTTAATGGTGCGCACGAGAATCTGTTATTTCCTTATAGAGATAATATACTTAACGTTAAATTTTTCACCGAATATTATTATTTGTAAGTATATGCGATGGGTTAATATCGATATAAATATTTAATCTTGGATTCGGATCCGGAAAGTAGTTCAAGCACTCGTACCACGTACACGCATATGTACAGAACATAAAAAGCGCTCTTCTATATTGGATGAATACCGATACTCTTTTTAATAATGGCCAAATATGTCATTAATACAATGGCACCACTCCAGGAAGAAAATTCACAAAAATTTGAATACTTAATACCCACAGTTAAGAGTTCGCCAGAATCTCAATCATCTAATATACCGATTCAAATATATAAAAAAGAGGGCCTACTTTCCATTAACCATGCAAACCTCGGACCATTCTCACCGAGAACGCAATCCATGATCGATGAACTAGAAAAACATGTTGATGAGCTAGCAAATTCTGAACTAGCAACTTCTGATGATCAGATCTTCATATTTGATTCGCCACATGAAATTAAATCAGACGTTACGTTGGATTCTACGTCAATACCGTTAATAATTGATATTCAAAAAGATAGTGAAGATGATATCCAGCAAGATTTGGGCCAAATAGACCAGAACTCCTTGGCGAATGATCCCGGAAGTTATAACAATAAAACATATTACTCTAAAGATGAAAAATCTAATAAATGTAAATGTTGTATGCTATCATTATGATGTGATATCTTAATTATAATCATATGTTAATACATCTAACTTGGATGAAATTCATTAGCGGAAAAAATACGATTAAGTCTTGAAGAAGTTTCATTTAACCTTAAAAATGTTATGTTAGATCAAGGTATTTGTATATTTTTTAAAAAAGTAAATTATTTTCATTATAGTTAATTTTAAGAATTTTTATATCAGAAATTAGAGTGCAGGTTGAGGATGACCAGGCACTAAATAGCATAGGTTTAGATTCACCACGTACGTTTAAGGTATTTCAATACTAAAACTTAATAACAATCAAATATTATAATAAATAATAAATTTTTTTATAAAGTATCCGGTGAGGTTCTTCCAGGTAAATATGATTTAACATTTAAATTTCTTTAAAGATTTTTATCGCTTTATTACAAAAATACTAACATCCATTTAATAGACAGTATACTTGTCCATATCAAATTAGTGAATTTTGATCCATCACCACGAATAGATTCTAATGTCAAAAAATCAATTCGTCTTATGGTCGGATTAATAACTTATCATACTAAACCAAGTACATCTCTTGAAGAACAATTGAAAAAATCGTTCCTTTTTCCTTTCAATTATCATTCGTTTGTTTTTGACACAATGAAATTGGTTATTTATGAGTACGGCTCTTTCTTGAACAAGAAAAAGAAATATGGGCGTGTTATTGTTCAATTGAGTGCTTTAAAACAGACTATAATCGATCATAAAGAATTCGAAGGGTGATTCCCGTTTTTTAAAAAAATTTATTTCATCAAAATTTTCTATTTAGCTAAATGCATTATCATATTATATGATTTTATCAGGATTTTCCCTATCAAAGCTAATGGATCTTTACTTGAAATTGGTGCCGTCCAAATCAACATAAAATTTCATTTTCCTAATGACCCACCCCTTACTCCCACTCCCTTTATACATTCACCTTTGAGTCCTATTAGTCGTGATTGCAGTAAACTTGACAATGATGACAATGATGACAATATTGAGACACATCCTGATGCAATATCTCTTGGTATACTTGATACGGTATTAAGTCAAGAGACTAGAGATGCAATTAAAGAAATTACGGCTCTTTATCATACATTTTTTGGTCATGGATGGAGGTTAACAAAATTAGAATTTTTGAAAGCATACATGCTACTAGAGAAATATTATAATCAAAAAAACAAGTAATAATTGATATTAATTTAGGTGCAAATGGATGACTTATTCATCTATTATTAATTTTTTTTTTTTTGTATGCACGTTTTGATGATAGCCCAGTTACAGAAAACTTGTGTTATGATATTGATTTGATAAAAAATACTCTGCGATATTTACAATTTTCTATGGCATCATATGTACGTTTTTTTATTCTGTCTTATATACCGTATTTACGCGTAATAACGCGCAGGGGGTAATTTCAAATTTCGGCCTAAATTAAGCTTAATTTGGGCCATGGCTCAAAATGACGCACCGGCCCGCTATTACGCGCAAATACGTTACTATTTTTCTCGTTCTTTATTAACAAGATTGATCTTAATTGTAGGGATCTTTCCTGTTTAATTGGTTTGGATATGGCCCACGAAGTACATAATTTTATTTATAAATTTATATTTAATGTACTTTATTATAATGCTTAATGCAATTTTATATAGATGCTTTTGGGATAACTTCTGATCAAAAGATTATTCGGAAATTTTTCAATCTTGATAAAAGTGATATTATCTGTTGGGAATATGGTCAGAAAGCGGTTTCAGTACCTAATTATATGGTGGTTAGAGACCCAGAGACAAATTCTATTATTATATCTATTCGAGGAACTATGGTAAGATTATATATATAACTCTTCTTTAATAATTGTATTATTAATTTGTAAATTTTCTTATAGAACATTACAGACTTAATTACTGACGCCCTAGCGCATTACGAACCCTGGAATGGTGGTTTTGTTCATCGTGGAGCGTTCCGCAGTGCGCAGCACCTTATAAAACATTCCTTAAAAGAAATTAGAGATGCTATAGTAAAATATAATATCAATTCCATAAAAATCATGGGGCACTCATTAGGAGCCTCCATTTCATCTATTACGACCTTGCTTTTACGAGAGCATTGTAAAGATATGCTTGACCGTGGAGTTGATATTCATGCATGGAATTTTGCAACTTTTCCATGTTGTTCGCTTGATGTGGCATCGAAAACCGATACACTGAAATGTATTCATAATTTTGTTAATGAAAATGATATTATTCCAAGATTGAGTTACGGAAATTTAATGGATTTTAAAGAATTGGTTAAATTTGCTGCTAGTGAATTAAAAAATGATGAATATAAAGAGGTATATCATTGTAATCTTATAATTACTAAAATTTTTATCACTAATTATTTATTATCTTTTACAAAATTATATGACAGTTGAGATCAAAACATAAACTCTCTAAAATATTCTCTTCCATCGATGAATATCGTAAAACTTTAAAATTAAATTCATCTTCCCAAAAACTGTATATACCTGGAAAAATATATTATTTATATAAAAGACATAGTCTTTCTCATTTGGAAACATCATCTTCGCTATTTCATAATAAGGAGGTAGTATGTGAAGAATCCAGACCTGATTTATTTACAGATATTTGTTTGCGCCGGAATTGGTTGTTTCATCATTTTCCAGATAGATATGATAAAAGACTTAAAGGAGTTATAAAGTTTTTGACAAAAGAATCAGTTGAACGTACGCCATAAAGTGTATGTTGAAATATAAAGATATTTATTATAATCGACCAATATCTATTCTAAATTTTCTAAATTTTATTTAGACACGTGACCATATTCGAATTAATATTTGTCTCGGTTTTTTCCTACAAGCCGTTAGGACAAGATACTATAATTACAATATATTATGTATATTATAATAGAGGCTACCCAAAGGATATTACCGGATGACAAACCCCAAGCTCAAAAAAAAAAAAAAAACTGTTTATAAAAAATTAAAATATAAGATCATAATTAGAATAGATTTAGAATCTGAGAGTGGATTTATAGAAGAGGATTACCGGCATCAAATTGACAAAATTTGACATAGGATTGTTCATACCTCGAAGGAAGTCAAGCGTTTATATTATCTAATAAACCAGCTAACAAAACTTTAGAAAAAAAGAAAAAATGCATTTATTTATTTGTTTATTATAAGACTAAGCGATATCAATTGTAAAATCTTTTGTAATGGGGATCCAAAATTAACAAATAGATGAAGCATTTCGAAAATAAATATAATTTTTTCAATAGCAATTTTATTATGTTGAATTATAAATCGGAAAATAATAAGATTCTCTGATTTTAGTTTCGAGACCCCCTAATATAGCTAATGTTTCTTGAATATTATATAGATATTTTGTTATATTAAAACTACTAGATAACGAATAATATATAAATATTGAAAAATATCAACCCTTGTGATATTTCCGATTTATTGATTTTCATATCGATATTAAGTACGAAATTAAGTTAAGGACCAATTATAAAAATATTAAATTCTTATTATATTTTGTCTACTGTGTATTAGAAAATAAATAATTTAAGATCAATTGCTATCATTTAACAGCTTTTATTCATAAAACGCTAAAGGAATATACCTTAACAAAAAAAATTGTTCAGAAGAGAAAAACTATAAATTGTCAAATCCCAATTTATGTATTTTTTCATCTTTCCTAACCTTGATGTTATCCAAATTTTGCCACCAAGTAAAAAGAAATTTTTCTGATATAAGTTTAAACCAGGGAGTATATTTCCAATCTTTAGTAATTAAAAAAAAAAGGACATACGTGTATGTGATTAGTAAGGATAAAATTAGGTGATTATTTTTTATACCCCAAATTTATTATAAACCTTTGAACGAAAGTATCTCTGCAACTACTAAACCAAATTTGATGAACTTGTTTTATTTGAAATCTACGGATACATAGAATTGAAATAAAAAAAAAGTTTTTTACTTTGTGATTTCTGAGATATCTTCGTTTAAATTTTTAAAAAATTTAAAAACGTCCATCAATACAGAAGCTGCGCCGAATTTTTTCTAAATTTTGAGCGAAGATATCGATATCTCAGCAACTTTCAGATCAAATTCAATGAACTTTTTTTTATTTGAATTATATGGATGATAAAATTCAAATAAAAAAAAAATTCATCGTATTTGGCCTGGTGGTTGCTGAGATAACTTCACTCAAAAGTATACAAAAAATTTGGTGCATTGATAGACGTTTTGAATTTTTTAAAACTTTGAACGAAAAATCTCAGCAACTACAAAGTCAAAACCGATAAATTATTTTTATTTGTATTCTAAGAATTTACAGAATTTAAATAAAAAAAAGTTCATCGAATTTGACTTGGTGATTGCTAAGATATCTTCGCTCAAAGTTTAAAAAAATTTTGACGCAGTTTGTTTTGATAGGCGTTTTAATTTTTTTTAAAACTTTGAACGAATCTATCTCGGCAACCACAAAGTCAACTTTGATGAACTTTTTTTTTATTTCAATTCTATGGACCAAATAAAAAACGTTTATCGAATTTGGCCTGGTGGTTGCTGAGATATATTCGCTCAAAGTTTAAAGAAATTTTAGTACAATTTGTTTTGATAGACGTTTTGATTTTTTTAAAACTTTGAGCGAAGATATCTTAGCAACCACCAAGTCAAATTCGATGAACTTTTTTTTTTGTTTCAATTCTATAAATCCACAGATTTTTTTTTTAAAAAAAGTTCATCAAATTTGGCCTAGTGGTTGCTGAGATACCTTCGCTCAAAGTTTAAAATTATTTTTAATCTATAGGGGGGTATGAATAATAAATTTGGGGGTATAAAAAATAATCCATTATAATTATATAAATATAAATTATATTAGAAACGTACCACCAGGATTTTCAAATTTTTGAGTTAATTCTTCTAAAGACAAATACTCAACAGCTTTAACTTCATTTGGATTTAAATCAAGATCAACGTCAGCTCGGATGATAAGAACATAATCAACTAAACGCAAATTTCTATATAAATAAATGCAACTTTACAAAAAAAATTGAAAAATAATTTTAGAATTGAAACGCACTTTCATGTTCACCCCAGATACCATCAGATGGAGCTACATAGTGAATTCTAGTTAAAAATACAAAATTATCAATGGGAACCTGATGGGGTTTAATTCCCAATTCATGTCGCAATTTTCTTTGAGCTGCACGACGGACACCTTTTCATTAAAATAAATAGGAATGAAAAATTCAAACATTAATATTTGTACTATTATGTATTTGAAGCTCGCATCAGTAAAAAACTGCTGAATATGAAAAATACGTA